AATAGCAGCAAAGAAGCAAAGAGGACCTTTTTTTGACCGACTTCCCAAAATAAGGAGGTACTCAATTCGTTTGCATTTGTGTTACCGTATATCTCCGCCCCAGATGGACCGATTTTGAAAATTCTTTTTTTATCTGAAAGGTAGTGGTTGCGGGTGGGTTTTTACCGTGTCCCTTGCCGCCGACGAGCTGGAAGGAGAGCTGTCCGTTGGGCGTGTCTGCGTCGTCCGCGTCGCTGGCGGCGAGCGCGGCGACGGGCTCGCGCGGCTCGTGGAACTCCGTCACGGTGGCGCACTCGCTGCCCAGCTTCAGCACCGGCGGGTTGTCGTTCACGTCGCCAACGTGGACACTGATAAAATAAAGTTAATCTATTAAAAAACAATGATCTTAATACGTTATGTGTAGCTTGGGTTAAATATTAAACTGGTTTTTAAAAGTTTTTTTTCTTGCATTTCTAATGTCTTCTATTTAAACGTCATTCAACGATGTCCAATCTATCAGCTACATATAAATTTTAATTTATCCTTACAAGTAAATGTACAATTTTAGTTGATTTAATAGTATTCCATTGTTTTCATCACTGTTATAAAACATCTATGGATGGTTCTTGCTTACAATGTATCTGCGAAACGACTTAACAGAACTCTATGTAATTTGACACAGATAAATAACAAAGTCTGGAAGAATACATAGGCTATTAAGTTCTTTTTTAAATTCTCTTGGATGAAGTCGTGGGAACAGTGGAATACTAAAATCTTGGTATGCTTGCAAACATGTTATAATTTAGCATTAGTTAATTACCTTAAGTAAGCGAATTGTTAATTTTAATAAATAATAATAATAACAAATATTCTCAAACCATGTAAATGAAATTATCATAGGTGCAAAACATTTCCGTTGAATTTGATTACACAATTTTAGATATAACTAGTTGTTGCTGGCGACTTCGCTCGCATGAGATTAAAAATACAGCCTATGTTACAGATAAATTACCTTTCGAATGGTGAAAGTATTTATAAAATCGGCAAAGTAGTTTTTGAGTTATTTCAATACATACAAAAATACAAACTTTTCCTCTTTATAATATTAGTATAGATATACTGACACGATCTGTTTGAATGCGTTTCTGCTCTCCCCGCTGAGGAAACCAAACTGGTAGTTGTCCCAGGCTTCCACCACCAGCGTGTAGCTGCTCTGCGTCTCGCGGTCCAGCGGCTCCGACACCACCAGCGTGCCCGTCTCCGCTCTTATAAGGAACTTGCCCTGGAAATTCAATTATTTATGTTATATTGTTTTTAATAAAAATAAAGAATTTAGTTTCTACTATATATTGTTTTATTACACTCAGCTCCAAATTATAATTAAATAAAATAATCTATTCTAAAATTAAAAGGAGGAATTTTTGTATTTTTGTATTTTTTTGTATGTACTGGAATAAGTAAAAAACTACTAGGCCGATTTCAATAATTATTTTACCATTAAAAAGCTACGTTATTAGTGAGTAACATAGGCTATATTTTTTATTTTTTTTAATTTCACACGGACGAAGTCGCGAACCGATGTTACATATCTTCCTAAGCCGTTTGTGTTCTAAGTTTTCTAAGATATTAGTAACGAATTAGAAAAAATAATTTGTCCTGTCATCTAATCAACATAACCCACGCCCGTAACATAGAGAGGTAGATAGTGCCTACAAACCTAGGCGTGGTCCTAACATATCTAAGGTTTCTTCTACATTCATACCCTATTCCCTTATCGTTATAAATACTATATCTCTTAGATATCAACTTATTTAAGTCAACTATTTATATAAATCTCTGTTTACAGGAACTTCTAAGCTTTACTATTAGTTGAATATTTAAAGTATATTACCTGTGTGGACATACGATCTAATAAATAAGTGATTTTGCCGAACTCCCCGGAGTCCGCGTCCTTCGCCGCGATGTCCGCGACCGCAGTCCCCGGAGCAACGTCCTCCGGGATTGTCAACTCTAACACTCCCGCTTCGAATACAGGGTTGTTGTCGTTTTCATCTAAAACCTGCAAATAACAAGAAATCATACTAACATAAATGCGAAAGTATAGATGGATGTTTGTTAAAGTTTGTAACCTGAACGGCTGAAAGGTTTTCGATGAAACATGGTAGGCATGTAGTGAATAGTCTGGAAGAACACATTGGCTAATCATTTTTTTTATAATTCCACGCGAAATGAGTCGCGGGCGAAAGCTCTTAACAATATTTTTACAAGAAATACAAATTACTCTTTTCTATGTGACCTCGTCTGTGCGGAATCCAAAAAAAATAGTAGCTTGTATGTTCTTTATTATATTCTAGATTTCAAATTTCATGGATATACATACAGTCGTTTTGTAACCGTAGTAACAAAGATCCATCAATCCAAACATTATGGATGGATGTTTTTTTATTAATAATAGTATAATATAATGAAGTATGATGAAATATATTTTTTAGATAACAATTAAAGGAAAATACAATTTTAACTATTATAATCCAGTTACATTATTAAATTTTAAATTAAATAATTTTACGCAAACGCACAAACATAAAATAAGTGTGCACTAGTACCGAAACTGCAAAGGCATTTTGTTTAACTATACTAATATTATAAAGAGGCAAGATTTGTACTTTTGTATACACTGAAATAACTGAAAAACTATTGGGCCGATTTAAAAATTCTTTCACCATTAAAAATCTACGTTATTAATGAGTAACATAGGCTATGTTTTTTTTTTAAATTCATGCAAGCGAAGTCGCGAGCAACAACTAGTCATAAATATTTTCTTTTAATGTAAATGAGTTAATAATAATAATTTATAAATATATCAGTCGACATTCCTACAGATTCTTATATATACATTATACATCCATCCATCCTTCTGTCTTACCTGTATAAATAGATCCACTATGGAGTATCTCGGCGGCAGGCCACTGTCCACCGCCTTCACCGTGAGGTTGATCCAGGAGTGCTGCTCGTGGTCCACCTTGCTGGCAACCACCAGCTCGCCGGTAGACTTCTCCAGGTGTACCAGCTCTAATAACTCCGGAGGACCTGGAAACAAAAAAAAAACAATTAAAAAACTAATATAATAAATGAGAAAGTTCAGATGGATGGATGTTTGTTGTAGCCTAAACGGCTGAACGGATCTCGATGAAATTTGGCATAGATGTAGATGATATGTCTGGAAGAACACACAGGCTTCTTACTTTTTTTATAAACTAGCTCTAAGGTTTTGTGTATTAAATGTTCTATGTAGAATTTTTTGTGGCAATAAAAATTCGATTTATTATTATTATCTAATATATATTTATTTTATATTTAATCCCACGCGGACGGAGTCGCGGGCGAAAGCTAGTTACAAATAAACTGCAGTCAAAACGGTCATGATATACAAATAATCGGTAATAATCAATCGTAAAAATAAATAACACGGGCTAATATTAAAAAAAAAACACAGTTATATAATAGTTTCTTAAATAACAAGGCCACAAGTAAATTCATTAAAATGTCTGTATTAATAGCTTCAAGTCAACTGTTAGTAAAATAACAGCATATAAATTTACATCCGTAAAGGAAGCGGTCATTCGCTACTTTGGCGATTGAAGATTTCATTTTGCTATCTTGATAAAGATGGCCGCTTCATTTGTCATCTTATACTATAAAATCTAAGGATTCGGTCACTAAAGCCGATTTTCTTTGAGTTTCTTATGTTGCTATCTTTTCAATCTTAATTTTTATGTTTTGTTTATAAAGTTTATGTAAATTAAACAAGGGGGATAGCCGTTTTTTTAGACAAATAGAATACATACCTTCAAGAAAATAGCTCATAGTTCTATTCTTATCAGCGTCATCCGCAATAACTTTATCAATAAGTGCCCCGTTCTTTGAGTTCTCTGCTATCGAAGTCTTGTAGTAAGGCTTCCTGAACTTAGGGTTGTTGTCATTCTCATCTTCAACGACAATAGTAAGTGTTGCCGTCGCCGTCTGCTTCGGCCCTGTTTCAATCGCGGCCATATCTTCTACTTTTATAACCAGTTTCACTGTTTCTATTTTCTCTCGATCCAAAAGCCTGTAATGAGATTAATTGTATCTTTAACACACGTCAAGAATAATGAAGTTCTCTAGTGCTGTATACAAACACTCGTCGAAATTAAAGAAGTTCTCTGGTGTTGGGTACAAACACTCGTCGAGATTAAAGAAGTTCTCTGGTGTTGTGTACAAACACTCGTCGAGATTAAAGAAGTTCTCTGGTGTTGTGTACAAACATTCGTTAAGATTAAAGAAGTTATCTCATGTTGTGTACAAAGTGCTATATTTACGGTCGAATACTGAAACGAAGTTTTAATAAAAAAGTCACACTTCTCGAAATTCCATTAAAATTTTGACGTCTGTAAGCAACGTTTATAAAGCATGTTTAAGATTCGTTTAACTTTAAGAAGATTTTAACCATAAACCTTTGAACGTATAAGCGATTAATGAAAACCGTTTATATCACCTGTCTTTTAACATGTTACTTATTACTCTGAGTAGAATTAAAAATAGTAAAAATTAGCTTATGTAACTCAGTGTTAATATTAACTCGATGCCTTTTTATTGGTATAAGAATTTTTGAAATCGGCTCAGTAATTTTTGAGTTATTTCAATACATACGAAAATACAACCATTAGTAGATTACTCTCTAATCGGAGAAATAATGAAAATATTCTTACCGTACAACTTTGAGAGTTCCATCAACAGGGTTTAAGTCCCACACAGAGAGGTAGTCGCACTCAGAGAGGTGTAGCGGCACGCCCTCCTCAGTGCGTGCGGCGCTGCCCGCGCGCTCCACGGTGTAGCGCAGCACGGGCTGCTCGTCGGGGTCGTGCGCTTGCGCACGGTAGATAACTGTACCCACCTATATAAAACACATTATTTAAATGTGTTTTTTATCATAAACAAACAAGCAAGCCATCTGAATCCGCTAAAATGGCGAAGTGACCACTGCCGCTACATTCGCAATAGCGGATGCGTTGCCCATCCTTAATCGAAAGAGGAAACGCACATAAAAAGGATATAGCCCCTTTCTTTGCGTTTCCCCAGCGTCAAATCCACGTTCCCTTAATTCTTTTCTTATAAGAAAAAGGTGGGCATCTGGAATCACTCATCAAATTGGAATTTCTCCCACTTCACGCCTGTCTTCTGTGTGGTTGTGGTGTAACACCGGGCAAGCTTATATTGCGAAAAAGTTAAAGCGGGCTCTACTTGGTATTTGTAAGGTACATATAGGAAATGGGTATATGTCGCTGACAATGCTATCAAGTTTGGCGACTTTTCTTTTATAAAATCTTAAGTCACTAAGAGAGATCCTTAGCGCAACTACTTAAGACCACTCAGAGCAATAATCTCAAAGGGAGGTTACACTAATTCACATTTTCATTTAAGTTGTAATTTTGTGAAAAACCGTAGAGTAACATTTTTAATAATTTCCTATAATAATGTGTGAAGTTACTTTCAATAGGAATTTAAGAGTAAAATATGATTCTATAACCTTGGTATATAAAATTTAGATGTTTAATTATGATCAAGACTTACTATAAGTTTAATTAATTAATTACCTGTGTATTTTCCATAACAGAGACAGTACCAGGCTCGTACAATATAGGAGGCTTGTTGTTAACGTCGACTATAGTAATATTAACGAGAACGGCCGCCCGCAGCTGCTGCTCACCAATACCACCGTCTATAGCGACCTGTGTACATATTCATACTATTAAATAATAATAATTACTATGTGGGTTCATTTATTTTAAAAAGTAGATATCAGAATATGTCGTCAATATACTTTAAACAAGCAATAAACCCCTTTCATAAGATGGTAAGATAAAGGAAGGTGCTACATAATAGATGAATGAAAAGAACATCAAATACTTCATAAGATCAAGGAACTTTGTCGTTCGTATGTACAGTCGCGGAAATTCGCTGTATCCAATTTACTGAAAACAACACCTTTATCCTAGCAGTGATAAACTCTGTCTATAATTACAAATGATCGGTAACAGTATTGATCGACTTTCATACAGATACATTAAAAACTGCATCACATTGGATATTGTTCCACGTCTACTGTCGCGTTTAACATTGCACACTGACAAATTCCCCGACTGTACAAGGGGACAAGTACTATTGAATTCCTGTTAACGCATACATCGATTCTAGATAGAGTAAGTTTGGTAAGGTGTCGCTCACCAGTGTGAGTGTGTATGTGGTGAGCTTGGGGCTGGTGAGGTCGGGGTCGAGGCGGGCGGCGCGCGCCACGCGCAGCTCGCCGCTGTCCGCGCTCACCACGAACTTGTCCGCGGCGCCGCGCTCCATGCGGTACACCACGCGGTTGTTCGGGGACGAACCGTCCATGTCAAGAGCTTTCACCTTTAAACACATCGCATTCATATAATAATTAACTCAAAATTTATGTTCTTTGAGTTTCTCTCATTAACGACATTATTTTGACTTTATAAAACTTTCATGAAACATTATTCTATTATTCAAAATACATGCCATATATAATAATTTTAGGGGTAAACGAGAACGAAAAATGGAATCTATCTTCTTACAAGGAAAGGAAAACAGCTTTGGTGTGAGATGGTCAGCATAGGTAAAGGAAATATCCCCTATCTACGTGTTCCCTCTGTTGATAAAATCCATTTGTAAATCAGAATTTCTATTGATAATGTTTACTTCGCTATTTCGGCGATGTCCGATAAACATTTACTCGTTAGTCACATTATACTATTTAAAAAACTAAAAATCTAGCAATTGACAAATTAAAATTACCGTAATGAAGATTGAAATTCATACTAAGGGGCCGTCTAAACAACCATTAAACCACTGTGAGTATGGAAAAAACTTTTTTAGAGTAAATTACACAATTACATATAATATACTAGTATACCTCTAATATACTAGTCCCGCCGGGCATGTCCTCAGGGATGGAGCGCTTGTAAAACATCTGCTGGAACATGGGGGCGTGGTCGTTGACGTCCTGCACGTACACCGTCACTGGCACCGTCGATGACAGCGCTGGCACGCCGAAGTCACGGGCCTTTACCTGTACCAAGAAAACATGGTTTACTAAACACTAATTAATAACCCATACTAATATTATAAAGAGGAATAATTTGTGTTTTTGTATGTATTGGACTCAAAAACTACTCTGGGCCGATTTCAAAAATTCTTTCACTATTAGAAAGCTACGTTATCGCTGATTTACATAGGCTACATTTCTAAATTCCACCTGGAAGAAATGTAGCAACAGTTAGTAATAATTTATTGGTTCAAACACAGATTTTTTTTAGTATAAAAAGTTAAAACTATTCAAAAACATCTTGGCGGTTCGAAGCATCGTATAAATCGCTTGAAGAAGACGACTTGCCCAAGCGCACGTGACTTTGAACCATTAAATAGATTGTAACTGCCTTTAACTAAAATGTTACTAACTTGTGCAGTAGCTACTGTAAAAACCTTCAACCTTCATTACATTTAAGAGGTTAAAGTTACCCTTGCGTATGGCAGATGTACACTCAAACAACTTGGGTTACTTACTCCTTAAAAGAATCCTAGAGAAACTAATGATTCACGTGAAAGTTGTAAATAAAATAAATAACATAATTGTCATACTCACAACTAAATGTATCGACCGTATGTTGCTGTTGTCGCCCGGTATCTGTTCAAAGTCCAAACCGGACACTGGAGAGATGATTCCGAGGTTAGGGTCGATGGTGAAATTGTTCTTATAATCACCACCCACTATTGAATATTCTATGTGGCTATTTTTCGTTCCTGTAAACAGGGTTTAATTATATACAATATTGAGACAAAATTAAATCAATTGTCTTTGGCAAAGAAGCAAGTTTGAAAATGCAATAGAAAAGAAAATAAAACACCTCGGTGTTCTCTCTGCTCGTTTGTCTCCCTTTATTATAAAAAAAAATATATAAACATGTTTAATACTTATTTAATAGTTCATTATACTAATATTATAAATGCGAAAGTTTCAATAAATGGATGGATGGACGTTCGTTAGATGTTGGATGGATGTAGTGTTTGTAGCCTTAAAGGCATAACGACATTCAATGAAATTTGGCATTGATGTAGTGGGTAGTCTGGAAGGATGGTGACTTTTGTTTTTTTAAATCCACGCGGACTGAGTCGCGAGCGAAAGCTAGTGCACTATAAAAATGAAAAGACAGAAATATTGTTTTTCTTACCATTTAGATCAGCATCCCTTGCCTCAACAATTAGTGGATTTTCAAAATGTTTCTCATTCTCTAACAATCTGGCTTCATATTTATTTGCTAAGAACATTGGTGCATTATCATTGACATCTTCTATATTAATCACCAGTTGTGCTGTATTTCTGTTACCATTGCCTTGGTCGTCTCTCGCTTCCACAGTCAAATAGTGTCTTGAGACCAACTCTCTATCGAAACTGCCGTCTCCTGATTGTTTTACTGTTATTACACCAGTTACCTCATTAAGATTTAATCTGGAATTAATAATATGGTTACAAGCATACTTAGACGGAAATAGTTTATTTGGTGCTTTATTTAAAGAAATCATAAATTTTAAATCTATAAAGTTTTGTTTTTTTTAGTGTATTTTGTTTGGAAGTCGGTTTTGTGAAGAACTAATTGATAAAATTATTTGGATAAGGATTCATACCGAACATGAGTAATAGCGTTGTATAGATTTCGAGCGTTATTTTAATGAAAAAGTGGTTATTGTGCGTCAACCTTAATAGATATATATATGCTATTGCGGACTTTTGTTTAGCGAATTTAATGGGCTACAATTCTTCCATACATCATTTTTATGTAAGACTTATAGTGTAGGCTACGTAAGCAAAGAAAGAAATGACCCTAAATTTCGTCGCGCGATATTGAGCTAAACTATTTAACTACGTCGTAGTCTTTGACCCCAAATATCAAACAACACAATGGAACCCACCTGCAAGCACTACCTTTCGGATAAAAAAAGAATTATCAAAATCGGTCCGCTAGCCGCGGAGTTATGCCGTAACACACATAAAAAAAATAAAAAAAAACAACATGCAGACGAATTGAGTACCTCCTTCTTTTGGACAGTCGGTCAAAAATAAGACATTTATAAAATCATATTTTTACTTTTAGAGATGTTATAAAGCATCACATCTTTTGTTTCTACTTTAAAATAAATCACCAGCTAAAAATATAGTTATTTATTAAAAAAATTACTTACAAATGTGCAATACTTCCTCTAAGGCTTGTGTATCGGATCCCTTTTGTACCATAATTATCAGAATCTTGGTCCATAGCTTGTACCCAAGCAACTGTAGTACCTATACCACAATTCTCTGGTACTGAAACTCCGGGAAGTTATCATTCTCATCCTTTATGTAAACTGTTATTGGCACTATACTGAAAAGGAATACATATTTCTTAGTGATTTTGCTGGTATTATAAATGCAAATGTTCTGATGGATAGATATTTACTTATACATATCTCTAAAATGGCTTGACGGATTTGAATGAAATTTGGCATAGATGTAGAACATAGTCTGAAAGACCACAGGTTACATACTAAGTTTTTTATACCGCACAGACAGAGTCGCGAGGAAAAGCTAGTGTTTTGATAAAACTGTAATGTTATAAACCTTTATTATCTATATTATTAATATGAGTTAGGTATTAAAACTGTGTTTTTAAATATGAATTATTTCATAAAATGTGATTCTGTTTATATAATATACTAGCAGTTTCTAGTGACTTTGTCCAGATAAAATTAAAAATTAATTAATAAAATTTGCTTTCTAATGGTGAAACAATTTTTAAAATCGCCCATTAGTTTTCGTGAATCAAATACATACAAAAATATAAATCTTTCCTCTTTATAATATTAGCATATGAAAATAAACTTATACAATTGTCTACATACCTCATTTTTGGTTCTTTGGTAACAACTTCTTTGGCGATTAGAGTAAAATTCATCATTGTTGTTTTTTCATAATCAAGATATGAAGGATTATTCACCCTGATAAGGAATGAAGCCTCATTGACACCTTTAAATGGCGTGACATCAAATACACCATTATCACCTATTAAATATAAATCAAATGTTCCATTTTTACCCTGAAAATCAATAATACAATAAAAGCTAAATTTAATTAAAACTATTGTGTTTATTGTGACATGAATAAAAAAAAACTATTGGTAATAAATAAAAAGGTCAATGACATACTACCTCTTTTTCTTTTGTGATTGGTGAATTTTAAATAAAGGAATATAAAATCTTTTGTATTAATAACATTAACATAATTATTTAATAATAATTCTGGTTAAAACACTACAGATTGTACCCTTTAGATGAAAAGAGTTATATCTGTTACAGAGTCCTTAGGCTATAAAATTAATTACATATGCAAATAAAATGTTTCTTCCTTATAAATTTGTATAGTAAAATTTACAGATTGTTAAAATGTTTGTATAGTAATTACCTGATCGTAATCATAGACTTCAGGTACACCATGCTGTAAAAGGGTGATGGGTGTATTCTGTTGTGCATTCTCCAATATTTCTCCCACATACTGCTCGCTGCGGAACCTAGGTATCTCATCATTGACATCTGTTACTATGATTGTTACCTCAGTGGTTGCACTCGGCAAAGGGGATATTTGTTGTGATTCCTCTGTAGCCTACAAATAATTATACTTATTTTTTATGAACAATATGAAAATATCTATGTTAAAACAACTATAGTACTTTTTACACAGAACTAGAACTAATGTTATTATAAGTGTAGAAACCTCATTTGTTTTTAATTTTATTTAAAACTTCAATTACATTTTTGCAAAATGTAAGAATGTTCAATTCTACATTTCTTACCAATATCTCCAAGATGTAGGCCCCATTGCTGTTAAGTGGATCTTCTCTATCCAATGGGTTGAAGGTATAAATGATACCAGAAGTGCCATCAATGTCAAAATGTTCCTCTCCACCTGACACAATACTGTACGATATACGATTGTTAATCCCTCTATCTCCATCAATAGCTCGCACTGGAATACAGAATAAGTGATAACATAAGTAATAAAACAATTTATTTTATTACATTGTAAAACGATCTTTGTATAGCTTACCTTGTAAAACTGAAGTCCCAATAGGAGCATCTTCGCTGATTCTAGTAACGGGACTCGCAACAATAAACTCTGGCGGTTGATCCTCAACGTCCTGGACTTTCACTAAAATAGCAGCTGTCCCTGTATTAATCCTGCCTTGATTGGCACGATCCACGGCCAATACTCTCAATTGATAAAGGGATTTTCGCTCATAATCTAACCCATTTACTAAGCGTATCACACCTTTCCCATTCACTGTTTGTATTAGGAAGTTTTCAAGATCTCCATCTAATTCTTGTAATTGATAAAGTACCTTTAAAATGCAAGATAAGTAACTTTTTTTAATATAAACAAGAAAAGCTTTCTGATGTCCCGGTTGTGTATGACAGTGACAGATGTGACATTGACGTTAATTTTGATAAACAAGTTTCGTTTTACGACAAATAATTGGAGCCAATATGATTAAGCGACAAAAGGTGACAACTTCACTGTAACATATTTTTTTTGCATAATTACAATTTGCAAAAATGAAGAGCATGATAAAATTATAATGAATAGGTGTCTAGCCTTAGACTAACCTTTGACTGACACTACACTGGTGTTCATTGTTTATACTTGTCGTACTTACTTGGCCGTATGCCCCTTCATCCAGATCGGTGGCTTCTACAGTGACTAAAATACCAGGATCAGCATCTTCTCTTACTGTGACAGCAGAGGGATAAGGTTTGAAAACTGGTTCGTTGTCGTTTACATCTTCGACTAACAACAAAAAGCTTTGGGTGACAAAGTTACCCTCCCCTAAATATCCGTCGGTCAGCGTTAAGACAAATGAGTATTCATCTCGGGTCTGTATGAAAGGAAAAATCGCATATTTTAAAACTCTATTTACCGTCATTAGCATGATTGTGAATAAAGTGCCTGATTAAATACGAAAATATCAGGCGCTTTTTAGTTATTATTTGACTGCAAAAGAAAGATAATTTACCTCTCTATCTAATTCCTTAACTAAATATACATTAGCTTCGTTGGACGAAATGGCTTCTAGTCTTAATATATCACTACCAATTTGGTCTTTAATACCGAATTTCAACGTGTCCCCATCGGGGTCAATACCCCGGAGTCGGTAAATTAGACTCCCTGAAATATATAAAAAAAAACATAACACATGACAACAAAAACTGTGAATACATCTTAAAAAATAACTTAAACAATCATAGTGTAGTAGTTCTTTATGATTTACTAAAAAGTTTACTCTACACAGGAAGGAAGACCGGTTACATAGTAAGTATAGCTAGAAAGTATATTGTGACACAAATGTAACTGGATCCTTATGGTATTAAATACAAAGCACATTATGTCTGTCTCCCTCGTGACTAATCGTTCGTTAACTTCCGCAAAAGCCGGTAACATGGGACGTGTAAGGCTTCCCCTGTTTATGGTTTGTTGTCGTGGTAACACTCCACCCTAACTAAAGCAATTTCCGGATAGTCATCGTTGAAGCGACGCCTAAATGCAATTACCCTCACTCGAATGCAGTTCTTGTCATGTTTGCAAAGAACTTAAAATAACATGAATCCCAAATCTCGTATTAAATTTTTAATCAAAGTTTCCGTGACTTATATTTACGTTGTTAGCTTAGTGAGCGACAGGTATTGCTTTTGATAAAACCCAAAATGTTGGTATGATGCCAAGTAATAACTAAAATGTTGTTTTTTATTTATGGTAGGAAAGTACACTATTGCGCATCGTATTAAGAACCGCTGCAGTAAGAAATGAAAGACAACTAGGAAATCAGATACAATGAAGAATAGGAAATAGGAAATAACAATTGACTGTCGTATTGCTAAGAACAATCTCTATAGTATCGATGTTAGACAGTATAATGAAAATATTAACTACTTTAGTACAGTGTTGTCTTCCCTATGATATACGTAAAACATCCATTACTTTGTTGCTTAGTCACTTCTTGATATTTTATTAATTTAGTGGTGACCAGCCTTTTAACCAGATCAAGTTAATCCTAAACTGGAAGGTTAAACTCGTAATTGGATTGCCAATTTAAGTAGTTACGCGTTATTACTACTTTAACATTTGGTGTTATTTTCATGCCGGCGTCGGGCACTTGAGCCTTATAACCCAGAAGCGCAACCAACTGTTTCGGATTATGTAGAGCTTGTATTAAATACAATTTTAATAGACTTAACTCAATGTGATACAATGTTACTTACCTACTGGCGTCTCGGGTCCTTCCTTTAATCTTACGACAATTTCTGATCGTCCATCGATCAAAAAGCGGGGTGGTCTGTTGGCTGAACATGTTGCAACAAGCGTTGTTAGCAACAGCCATAGCAGTATCTGAGACAACTTGAGAGATGGTTTTAATCTGACTCTGGGCTGCTTCCTCGTGAAATCTGAGCACAACATCATCATATTTCCAATTCATCTGATGCATGGGTTCCTCTTTTTATCTATGGAGACAATAAACATTTTCCCGAAGCTTTCCTTCGCACGGTTTCTCCGTGGGAAGGCCGTGATCTACTGGTGAAAGTGTTGTCACCTCAGGTTGACACTTACGCGAGTTAATTTCGTTTACGTGACGTTTACTTCACGTGCACCTGTTAAAGAGAGACGAGTGTTAGCCAGATGTTGAATTAACAGTCGATATTACGTAAATTATAGCAGTCACGTCCTTACTTTCTTTAAAAATATAAGCGGGAAGAACAGGTTCTCACATTTTACTATTCGATTGTAAAATACAACACGAAGGGGCATCTATAAAATTGCAAGACTAGATGTAGTCGAAGACCTATCTTATGCCAAACTGATTTTAATATTCGCAGTACAAGATACTAGCTAAGGAGCTATCCTTGTTTCAAATGGTACTGACTGATATAAGCATGACAAGCGGCTACAATGAAATTTAGGAATGATCCAATGTTTTTTGTTTTTGTCTAAACAAACAATTAGGCAGATCACAACGACAACATGAGCGTAGTTAAAAATATTATTAGATCTCACCTATCTATGTTCTAATTGTTTAGAAACAATGACGATAATCTTTTGAGAATTCGTCAATTACCATTGCACTGTTGACATAATGATGATACGTTATAATGTTTTCTGTTAAAATTAACGAAAACAAACTAAATAATGGATGATATAAAACCATACTAACTACTCTTGTAGTTTTACTGTGTCTCATATTGTTTTACAAGCATTTGTTACGCATAGTTAATTAAAGAGCGATAGTTTAGTTGTTTTGGTTTGTTTTGAGTAGCAAATATGATTGGCAATGTGGAAATGGGAACTGATAAACCTGAAAATATAACAATTGTTTTGTCATTTTTTTTTTCATTGTTATTACAACCACTATCTCTAAGTGATCGCTAAGTGCTATATAAGTGTGACGCTTGTAGGTTACCTAGGCACGAGATGGGAAGCAGTGCGTGTTAAACTATGAACACATTGCACCTCATTGTTTTGACATGCAGATGTTTGTACACACTTGCTTAACATGTCTATCTGATCATGATTGTGTAAAAATTATTAATTAATTGATTCTTTTACTGTGTTTGTGCTGTTCTTTTCTTATGCATCCAAACTAGATTTAGTCAAATGAAAAAAATTAAATGAAATCTCTAACATTCAAAAGTAACTGAACTTATTATTGCATAATTAGACGGATAATGCATTTTGAATTCTGTTCTATTACTTTAAAGTTACCGTTTATCCACAAAAGCGGATAAAATCGGGTGAAACGAATCATTGAATTTTTGATGTTTTTTTTTTATTTTCCATGCGTTATGAAATCCACTTCTTTCGCTAAATTTTCCCGGACCTTTAATCCGACTCGTTGCTTCATTTTTAAATGTTTTCTTTTTGGATTGACGAAACTGTGCAATCTGTGAACTGGTTATGTAAGATTACATTTTTACGTCTTTTGTTTTAAGAGATCACACTTTTTCTTTGAAACAGTTTCACAGACATTTTGACAAGTCTAAAATAATTTACTAACTTGTTGTGGATTTATATAATGTTACACCTATTTAATATTCCATTCTAAATTTGTTAAAATGTCCCTCGGAGAGTCCGCGGATTTTCAATTTATTTCCTCTAAAAAATATCTTTATGTCTCAGAACGTATAATTAATTTTAGTTAAAGTTCTTAAAAGCGTTGCACAAACGACCGTAATAGCCCATTTTAGCGCTGTGGTTCATTCACACGCAACATATCAAAACAATACACGAAATTATATAAAATAACAATTAAAAATGACCTCGTGTCAACCGGATATGTGTAACGTGCAGACGAGTCGTTGACGTTTATTTTGGCGGGAACTGATGAGTTGTCATGTTGATAGAAACAAAAGAGGCAGCAAGCGCGACGGCGCGAAGGCCGATGACTGTCAGCCAATGCGACAATTCATATGATATGCAGGGAATTGACCCCTACATACATTTAACATATTCTATACGTCACAATTCAAGGATGAGAGTGATTCCAATCATTTATATCCTTCTAAATTTGTCTGTTCTTTGGTCTCTTGTCATTTTATTCTTTTTTTTTTTTGAATAGGAAATTAAAGTGATTTAATAATAGCTAATAATATCACAAACATGGCGTACTCGATGGTGTCATTAAGAAAGTGTTATAGTGGGCAAATTAGTGAACTTAAGGCAAGGAGCGTAACGGAGTATGCAAAGCGCGGCCGAAAGCCGACCGACTCGCCCGAGACGAGAGAAAGCCTCTTCCCTCCGTTATTCGTCTCTATTATAGTATTTATCTTAATTTTCATATTTGCATTATTTTAATACCTTAAATAGAAACTATTTGTTGCGACATTGTACTTTCTTCACAATTTTGAAATAGCAAATAAATTTATAAAATTAAAATCATCTATATACATATTAAACTAGGTAAAACTACTTTTATTCATGTATGTACATACATAATTTGATTGAGTACCTCGTGTTGTCATTTTAAACATGACATAAAGTTACGTAAGGCACAATAAAAACACATGTTGATTTTACAGATTATGTAGAGGAAAAAGTAACAACTACATACGGTATATTTTTGTAATATCTAATCTGCGTACACGCGTCTCGAATTAAAAGTATACCACAGATTGTAAATTGTTTCTCACCATAGACAATGTATTGATTAACGATCTACAACAAATTATATATATTCACGATCTTTCGGAGTTAAAATTTAATTGAGCGAATTTGATAACAGTAACTATGTAATAAAATATATTTTCTCAGAGCGTGAGTACATTCACATTAAAGTTGTGTGAATGTTGATAATTTGAATTGGAATATTTCACACGTAACGAATGTCGTTGCTGTAATTGTTGGGACATTAATCTGTGTGAAGAGCACATGCAATTGACCGACGTAATTTTATATTAAATGATAAAAGCCGGAAATTATGCGATTAATTTGAGACTTATGTCTTATTTATTTTATGAAGTATTTAAAAACAAACATTACACCTTGTTTTCAACCCAAATGTTGACCTTTTCTTATGATAAAGGAGAAGCTTAGGCAGAGATTTTTGTTTAGTGACTATTCAGTGAGGCCTATGCGCAGCAGTGGGCGTCATATTGTTCATTAAATAGACAGAAAAGTACAGGGAAACGACATTAGTTCTGTCATCTTATTAGCGGCTTAACATGTACAAATATTTCGCGATCTTATCTCTAGCACGAAGAAATAAAAATCAATTTTATAACTATGAAATGGTACACTGAGTAGACTTCGTCGTATTTCAAAACTGTAAACGACCGAAACTAAATAAACGAACGTGTAGTTAGTAAAACATATCGAAACCAGCACAATATCATAAATATTAACTTGTAACAAATTGATCCTAAGATGTTTTTTGTTTACAAGCAAATAAGAATGTTGAGAAATAGTTTAATGTGACTATATACGAGCATGTAATAGAACGAGAAGTTTGTAATACAGCTTGATAATGCGCCTAGACACAGAGTTAACATACGAAATGTGCATCATACATGGTTCCCTTTACACTTTCGATTGAATTTTTAAACTTTCCATTTAATCTGGCAAATCTATTTATAATGATAGTCTCCGTGTATAAAATTACAAAGAACAATTCCTCTGTTATAATAATAGTCATTTCCGCACGCTTTTGTATTGGACAGATGGATCACGCAACATTGTAACTTGTAATAGATTTTAAATGTATGAATATACTAGCTGTTGCTCACGAATTCGCCCGCGGGAAATTAAAAAATATAGCCTATTTTACTCACCGATAACGTAGCTTTTTAATGGTGAAAGAATTTTTCAAATCAGCCCAGTAGTTTTTGAGTTATTTTACTAATAAAAACTACTACTAATACTTACAAAAATGTAAATCTTTCCTCTTTATAACATTAGTATAGATATATATAAATATAAGTGTGAAAAGCAAAAATGACCCGAAATTTCGTCGCGCGATTTCGAGCTAAACTATTTAACTACGTCGTAGTCTTAAACCCCAAAAATCAAACAAAAAAATGGGACCCACCTGCAAGCATTACCTTTCGGATAAAAAAAGAATTATCAAAATCGGTCCACTAACGGCGGAGTTATGCCGTGACACACATAAAAAAAAATAAAAAAAAACATATCGACGAATTGAGTACCTCCTTCTTTTGGGAAGTCGGTCAAAAAAGTGGGATTTTATAGCGATATTCCCGGGAATGGTAAGCAAAGAAGAGATGATGATGAAAATAAAAATTACTTTAAAGTTAACTGGCCGTAATATTTATTACATTATGCCAAACATACTAAAACGAATTTATAATTGGTACATAGTCTAATTATAGTTTTAAATGCATCAAAAATGTGCCTCGCTATTTCTATTTTTTAATATGATTTTGTTTTAAATATATTTTTTAGTTTCAATTTTGGGAACACTAACAGCAAATGCTAATTTATCAATAAATATGTAATGTGATCGTGCATTTATCAAGACAAAGATCGTTGGGAAAGTGATTGCTATCTCCCATACGTTTGGCAAACAAAGGATGTTCAGCGTTGCGAAGCGAGACGACATAAACATGTGCTGATTATTTATGCAATTTAATTGAAAAGTCTAATATACTATTACTAATGTTGAGATGGAAAGCTGACTCGTAGAGTTTAGGAAGATGATTAAAATAAATGCTTATAGTTAAATATCTTGTTACGAAACAAATGGACATAAGATTTCATAACCTAGAAAAATTACACTTTAACTGGCCACTAGGTAACATAAGCTCTTTCAATCACCAAGGTACTCTTATACAGGTCGCTACATGGCATCTGAATACCTTGACCTGTACCTTATGCGTGCATCTTCGCAGTAGTTAGTAATTATTTTTTTATCACCAATAACAGATAAGGATGTTCCTAACCTAAATTTTACAATAGTTTATTAGTCATGCGTTACAGATTAACATATTATATACAGAATAATGCAGTAGTTTATCTGTCAATTTGTACCGTTAGCAAGATGTTTTCATAAATTGTTTGTGGTAGAAAATACCGCAAAAGGTACATTATAGTTGATTACCACAATTTACATTTGTATATTTACAATGCAAATTCATGATTCGAA